TTAATTAGTTAGTTTGTTTGTTTGTGTTTAACACCATTCCAGCTTCTGTGGCTAAGAGAAATATTATGGCTGAATTATATCATGTTTTTATAAATTATTTTTGCTAAAAACTCCTAAACAGTATTTGGCTTAACTCTGTTAAAAAATCTCTTCAAAAGAATCTCTTCTTTCATAAATTCTCAATGAGTTAAAACCAGCACAATCTGCTGTTTAATTAGCACATCTCCATTGACACATTTTGAATGTGTTAGCATCTATTTAGCGCAAACAACGTGGAAAGCTAACAGGTAACCACTTAAACTGTGGACGCACTTCACCTTGGCCAAAAATTATGCTAGCATAACAATATGTAAAATTTGTTAGGCTTTACTACAACCGGTTTAATTTATCACCTGAGAACACGACCTAAACAGAACACTGAATTTTTGGTTTTCAGCTAAATGAAAACTTTGATTTGAAAACTAAATGAAAACTAATTTGTTTTTCCATATGGGTTATGGATATTTATCCCAATTATCTAATGTTGTCTGTTAGTTAACCTACTAAAATTATGTTTTTTAGAGACACATGGGCACCAAGCACATGGACATAACACTGCATAATTAAACATGTCCTCCTTGACAAGTTTTTCAGACAACCCACTAGTGTTGCTTTCGTCAACGAAAATTATGACTAAATATCGTGGTCAACGAACCTTTATCACATGACGAAAACGAGACGAGACGAAAATGCTGGTCATGTGACGATGACTATAATTAAATGTATAATGCAATATCATTGACGAATAAAAACGAGACTAAATGTGGTTTACAAAATAAAAACTATGCTAAAATGTCTCTTAATTTTCGTTGACCAAAACGAGACGAAACGAAATGTTATAACGTTATTTCGTCCCGTTTAGTCACGTTATTATTATTATTTTGCAGTATTTCTGTTTCCTGTGTCTCGCTTCAGCGGCATCAGGGCGCACTGCGCAGACGCAGGCCCCACTCGGGGTGCCGCGTCTGTCGAGAGCAGGGGTGCCGTGTAAAAAATAATTTTTTAATATTTTTAAATTGCTAAAAATTTTCAAAAAAGCAGCTATTATATATTTCGTCTATACTACTAGGTACTTATACTATATTGACTGGGTTAAATAGAATTGCATTTCTAAAAAGAGACTAAAATACAATTTTCATTGACTAAAACTAGACTAAATGTCATCAGTTTTCGTCGACTAAAACTAGACTAAAATGCTCAGACTTTTAGTTGACTAAAACTTGACTAGACTAAAAAGAGTATGAACGTGACAAACTAATAAAAACTAAAACGACAGTTTCACACAAAGACTAGACTAAAACTAAAATTAAAACAGGCCGCCAAAAACAACACTACAACCCACCAACTAAAATATGTTTTTTCACTTCGCTACCCACAACATTACTACACTTATTTCAGCACTATTGAACTAATTTAATGGTCATATGAGAAGGATGTCATGGAGTACAAGTTTTACATTTTGGCATGGGTATTTGAGAATTGATTCCATCAAAATGAGAGCCATCCAACACATACATCCCTGTAGTATTTACACCTGAAAGAATCACCATCCTCTCTGCTTGTGTCTGAGTGCTGTGAGAGCACATGAAAAGGCAGCAGCACTCCATGGCAACTCACACCTCCGTTACAGCAGAAGAGATGACAGTCATGTGACCGCAGCCTTTTCTTTTCCCTCAGCACACGAGCTGAAGAGACATAACCATATGTAGAGTTCATAAGGTATTGTGTGCACAGGGATAGTTTACCTAAAAATTAACAAACAATATATTTTGAGAAATATCTTAGTTTTTTGCCTTAACAATGAAAGTCAACGGTCATAAGTTCTTATATCTTAATTTTTATATTATATCAAACATATTTTGAGTTCCTCAGTAGGAAAAAAAAAACAGGTCTGAACTGACTTAAGAGATGAACTATAACAAATTAGTTAACTACATTAGTTAACATGAACTAACAAAAAAAGACTACAATACATCTACAGCACTTAATCTACAGCACTTAATTTTGCTTACAGATCTACTAAAACGTGAATAAAATTCAAAGAATAAATACTGTAACCAATTTATTGCTCATTGTTTATTATTAATTATTAATCTCATTAATGAGACCTTACTGTGTTACCCTGTTTGTGAAAATCGACAGAATTCTGCATAACAGACTTGCATATGCTAAAATGTGTTAAATAACATTCACACCAAGTTCACACAAAGAACAATAACTAACATTATCGTCCATTTGTGTGGATGCTATTTAGTTATAGTTAGCATCAAAACTGCGCAGTCAGTGCTGCACTTTTATTTGTAGTTAAAACGCAACCAGCTAAAATCTAGATATATGTAATAAACAAATGAAGAACATGTTCCAATTAAGCAGAAATAAAGAAAGCCATCTCAAGAGTTCTATGCATTTGTGACCTAACAGCATCAGTAAAGCTTTAGTAAAAGCTTCAGTATGTGTTATATGCACTTGCCTTTAGCCGAAATCCATGAACTAAAAGAGCTGGTTTTCAGCAGAAGACTTTCCAGTATTGGAAGACTTGGGTAAGCCCTTTACATAGTTTACTCGATGTCAAATTCATGTAGCTCTCCTAAGTAAAGCTTTTAATTGAGCAACAGAATCCATCATAGGGGAACACGAGTGAAATTCTAGAAAACTTGCCTTTAGTGAGGAGCCCAGAGAACACAAAGGGAGTTTGCAGTGAAAGGCTGCCGATTGCTGCAACTCTTTTAACCACGACTATCTTTAAATCAAAGCCACACAACAGACCTGCTCTTATTATAGCAGAGTGTCATTAAGAAGTGGCTGGCCTGAAAAATATTCTCTTCAAAAGAGCCACTCATCAGATGACCCGGTTCCTTTCTCTCATCTCCCAGTCCGGTCATGTCTTCTGTATGCTCTCTTTGTGTCTTATCAAAACATTAAGGCCATTCAGCAAGTCTCAAAGATCCATACAGCAGACTAAAGCCTTGAAAGCATTCATATAGCATAAAGGCCACGGCGTAAAAGAGCTCAAAACATCAGCTGAGACAGAGCACCCTACACCCTTCCGAGAGGGATGCCGATTCCCTGCAGGAGGGTGACTCTGGGCTCTCAGAAGTGGAAATGAATGTTGTGGAAAGGGTGTGAGAGGATGAAAGATCACACACTATCCTCTGTATTTCCTGCTCTTTTTCCTCTCCCTCCCCTCCAATGTTATCAAACCCTTTCCACTGTATCCCAGAGTGACCCACAATATTCAGAACGACCTCAAAAACCAAATCAAGCAAACCCAGAGGGGTCTGTGCACCTCTGTCCTGATGTTTTAACGTTCAAACAGGTGACAAAACTATTAAAACTAGAGGTGCAGTGCTTGGAGAAATGTTTTTAAACTTGCAAACTGACCTCCGTCTGTTCTCTAGAGAAACCTCCTTCCTTTTCCAAGTAATGCTTTTATTTGATAACAGATATTACATAAACACGTGGAGCAATAGATGGCATTGCAAACCCTGTAAAACAAGTTACATAATATTACAGATTATGCTGAAATTTTCAAAGGCTCACTGTGTTCAAGTCCCTAAACTTTTATATTTATAAATTAAATCAATATAAAATTGCTGTGTGGTTATGAAAATAAAGCAAAGTCTTTGCCTTTCAGAGCTAAAGAAGTTTTGTATAGCCATGTGTTCATTTAATATAGCGCAGCCTCCATTTGTTCAATTCCCTCGTGTGGAGAGATGGATAAAAAGTGCTGTTATTATCATTACGTGGATGTTGGGGCTGAAAAAAAATGAGAAAGAAGTTTCACTTAGAGTTTGAGAAAAGAAAGCATGCTTTGACAAACTTCCATCGGCTGTAGTCAGTGCTAACATGTGCTTGTCTCTCGCGCCGTGCACGCGCTGCACATAAATCTGTACAAATTAATAATTTCTCCCTCACAACGTGCCAGCCCGGCTAATATTTCCCGAAAAGTCCTATTAAAGAGCGAAAAGTCTGCAGATATTGGCGGGCGCTTCACGTGGATTTAAAGCCCTTATAGGACGCGGCGGTGGTGGTTCAAAGGCTGAACGTCGATTGTTAGCGAGCTAAGCTAACGCGCTAGGCTAGGCGCTATCAGATGTTATCCTGCTGCACGGGCACAAAACACAGCACTTTATAAAATAAACGACAGTATAGTGGACAATCGGATAAACATATTCATAAACGAGTTCGCCTTTCGATTGTCCAGCTCTGGGTGTGCCAATAGTGTTAGCCTAAGCTAAACCTCCTGTCGCTAACCGGCTAAACTACAGCAAAACAAGCGAAAACACAAGGAATACTCATAATAATGATGGGTGGTGAGGGTTTAGTAATTGTTATTAATCTAAAACGCAACCAATCGCGAATATATGTAAACACACCAGTGTAGTAAAACATCCAGTGTATTTAGAGGGCAACCACAGCGTTTTTATCTACTGTAAACTTACAATTTTAAACAAGAGAAATTGGTTTTGTTAACTATATCTGAAGTTTAACTCAAATCAGTATGAGCAAAATATCAATACAGCGAAAGTGGAAAAAACTCAGATGATCAAGCTTTTTGTATTAGATTTGTTTTACGCAGCTACAAAACTCTAGCAAACACCGCGTATTTGTTGTGTCCTATATCTTGGAATTGGGTTAATGTAGTTTAACTACAACAACAACAGTTTCAGAATAGTGCATGCGAGTGATTTCTCTTATCAATGAAACACTGCAGTTTTAAATGACATGCAACCTACACATCAGACTGGCATATTAAATAAGCATATCATAAGCAGCTGTACGTTACATATATTGAATATTATACACACGAGAGAGGCCATGTAATCAGCTTCATATGTGCATTACCTGCATGAGGTTGTGTGGTGAAGCTGATCACATGGCCCGTTACTCCTACAAAATCACCCTAGCATGGTCAAGTCTACATTTGCAAGACGTTTTATTAGACAAATGCATGTATTTACCCTGGAAACTGATGGAAAGGCGAAGGAAAATTAGGCACCTGTGTGCGCAGGGACAGTTAACTCCCCCAGGTATCCTATCCAGAGTTCAATTACGGTCACCGGTCTCTCCTCTTCTCCTCTCCGGTTTGCCCGAAAGAAAGATGAAACGATCCTTTGAAAACGAGTTGAAGTTTTACAAGCACAAACCAAACATTTTCATCCGATGGAATAAAGTAGGAGCGTTACGCCAACCCTTTCAACCCACGCACCAGGGAGAGCTTTATTATTTATTTATCTTCTGCAAAAACTAAAATCTCCCTGAAATAATATGTGACCGATTTAAAGAACGCCCAGGATACGGCGCACGACTCCGATGCTTCTCCGTTAAGCGCGATCGTCTTTATCCCACTGATTTCTGTACGACTCCCTGTCCACGGATGATGGCGTGTGTCGTCCAGGAACGTCACCATCGCTCGCGTTCAGTGTCGCTTAAATACGACGTAATTACGTTGCCATGTCTGCGGTCTGTAAAGGGCCAACAAGTATCATTTGAGATTCCCCGTGTAACTGCCCCGTTTTAGGTTTTATTATTTAATATGTTTTATTTAATTATAAATATATTTCTTGATTTTTAATTGAGTTTGGTGTGTTCAACAAAGGTTGCTGTCATCACTGTAATGACCAGACTTAACATGGGAGTCAAGATTTAATGTTTCTCTTCTTTTTACTTTGTAGCTTCAGTGTTCACTGTTAATCTATCAGAAACTAAAGTGCCAAACAACGTGATTCTGAGAAGCATGGAACAGATGCGTAAACGCTTCATATTACTTTACTGTACTTACTCTACTTCACATTATTTAATTTACTTTATTGTATTGTATTGTAATTTTTACCCTTTACTTGTAACTTTATTTGTTTTTTTATATTTTAACATAATCTTTTTTTGTGAATAACACATTTAAATTAGTAGTAGTAGTAGTAGTAGTATAAAAAAAATGTTTTATTCATTTATATATAAAAGTTATTCATGCAGTAGCAGTACTAAACAGAATGCTCACAAGCTTACAAAACCCTACAATATGAAAGCAAACTAAATATAAGATAAACTGTTCTAGACAGATAATAAAGCAATACGTAATATGAAATCCTTAATGTGTGAGTACTAACAACTCATTCAAAACCCAAATGTATCTGCACATATTATCTGATCAACGGGGTTTTAAAACCAAACAGACCAGACAAGACTTGGAGGAGAAAAAATCTAATGAGTTCCATCTGGCGTTGTTTTCCACCACTGTTATACTGAACTGCAACGGTTCTGCTGCACCACATGACAGCGGCTGCTCTTGCCTAAAGCTGTGTTTTGTTCCAAGCCCCGCTCAAAGGTAAACAATGTTCTTTCACATTCCCATCATATTCCAGACCTTTGGCATTAGAAAATGCACTTAGTAGAAACTTTAACTCAGGTGGAAGCCAAAAGAATGCTCATGAATTACACAGTCATGGGTGCAACATGACATATATACCGTAGGTAGTCCCACAGGAAGTTCATAGCCCATCACTTTCAATAAATAGTCCTAACTAGCGTGGTCATGTCATGTTAGGTAATTAGGTAAGATTATAGTGTGGTTGGGTGTATAAGGTGTTAAGTGTATCTGTAGTCAAATTATCAACCTATTTATTCTTATTTAGATGAAGTATTATGGGTAAAATGGCAGGGTGCAAGGTATGACATATACTACCTTGCATGTACACTACTTATTTTATTTTTTTTGGGGGGGGTACTTTTATCATTAAATTGATCAAAAGTGACAGTCAATATTTTTACATAATTACAAAAATATACATATATTTCAAATAAATGCTGTTCTTTCTATTCATAAAAGAATCCTAAATCCAAAAATGTATCACAGTTTGCACAAAAATATTAAGCACCACAACTGTTTTCAAGAATTGTTACTTGGTCACCAAATCAGCTTATTCTAAATCACCAAATCAGAATGATTTCTAAAGGATCACATGACACTGTAATGGCTGCTGAAAATTCAGCTTTAGGGAGTAAATTGCATTTTAAAATGGAAAACATTTATTTCAAACTGTAATAATATTTCACTATATTACTGTTTACTGTATTTTTGATGCAGTTTTGATGAGCATAAGATACATCTTTCAAAAAAATCTTTCCTTTGATAGTGTATATGCAAAGAAAACAACAAACATGTGCTCACACAAGAGTAATGATAACAATAGTCCCTCTTTTAATATAAAAAACAGTACATAGCAGGAAATGTGTTGGTGCTTTCTTAAGAATTATTACGTTTCATTATAACTTGTAAACACAAACTTGCAATGCTGCAAATAAAAAAAGAATACAACTTATGCAATAATATTTACATAGGTTAAAATGTTCATGTTTTTATAATTTAAATGGAATGATGAAATGCTTATTTTTGAAGTTATGTGGCAGTCATTGCATTTAGATAAAGACAAGAATGATTATTACATTATAAAGATACAACATTGTTTATTATTTTGTTGTACTCCATAAACAAATGGTGAAAATATCAATATCAAAAGTACACAGAAGACCACATCAGCTTCCAGAAGAGCTGTGCAACAGACAGAAAAATATATCTGCTTATTTTTGTTTGTCCGTTTTCATCCAAACGGCGATAGTCTTTACACAGCAGTGTTTAATATTTTTTTTATAAATATGTTTTTATATATAGCATTATGAAACATAATCTAAAACCATTAGCAAATGTCTTCTCTTATAAGTATCTGAATTACATGTACCGAAGTATACCACAACATGTACACTGTGCAACATTACATATGAGGACACATGAAACAGCATCAAGTCCACAGCTGGTACCTGTAAAAGAAATCAGAGAAAAAAATCCATTCATTCAAATATGTGCCAAACTGTGCTCTAAAAACTATGATGTACTCATGTACTTTCTTTCTTTCTTTCTTTCTTTCTATTGACTTCAATTTAAAGAAGTGAAATCAATGAAATATCCTTATGAACTTATTAAATGTAAGTAAACATTACTTACATTCAACAGAAACCCCTATAAATTCCAAATAACTGAACATTAAACACTAATGGAACTCCTTCTATATTAATTTTATGCAAAAACACACAAAATAACACTTCAATTCAACATTTTACAACATTTGCTTGTCCGTATCAAAGCGTGTTTGGAACATATTTGCAAGATTATGCCGTTGTTAATTGTGTCCAGTTTACTAAATTCCTTAAAGATGAAAAATATTGATATGACACTAGTAATTATTATAGTTCTTGAAACTGATCAGTATAATTTTCCCATTATCAAATATTGCTATTGCAATGTAACAAAAATATTCATATTTAAAATATAATTTGTTAGTCAAATATCAGTGTCTTTTAGTGAATAACAGATGTCAGTTTTTTACTAAATTAACTGTTGTATTTTTAGGAATTTATGTCTATATTTAGTGAATATAGGAATTTATATGTCTATGTGAATATACTGTATATGTCTAACACAATCACAAAGTGATTTTCATATTCAGATGTTATAAAGGTGGCATAGTTATTTATTGTTAGAGTGTACACTGACAAGTTGCTGTGGACATTTGTGGACTAATCTATAATAGACCTTTGTGCATTTGTGTATAGTCTTCAACAAGCTGTTAGATTCCAATAATTGCTGCAAAGAATTTCTGCTTCCAGATCAGATTAGTTTCAATTCAGCATAAAAAGAGCTGTGCCCTTGCTCCTGTGCTGACGTGGCCTCAGACATTCTCCGTTTATGTTTATATAAACATTAATTTGTCATCCTTGACATCACCTAGCCATTGTGAAGCCTGCTCCCCCATAGCGCCTGATACCGATCCGATCATGGGAAAAACACAGTCTGCATGACGTAAGCTTACATTCCTGGCTTGTGGACTCTGACCCTCTGGTGTTCCCAGGGAGAGCGAGACAGAGAGCATGCAAGAGCGGAAAAAAAGAGGCCCTCCTCATCTCTGGCCTGGTCTGAGCCGCACTTCCACGCATGCCTGCTGTAATGACTACCAGATGTCACTGCTGGCAGCGCGGACCCGGGGGTCAGAAGTCAGCCGTCACAGCTATTCTGTTCCTCGTACGCAGCCTCATCAAAACACACTTGACAGAATGACATAGTATGTGTTTGTGTCTGCATTAGTAAGCAAGTGGATGTCATTAGGTGTTTGTGTAAGAGCTGTGCTGATTATGTGGAGGTCAACAGCCAATGCTGCAGTTTATTATTCTATTAGACTGCCACTTCAAAACTATTTGACAGTCTAGTCACTTGACAAGGGTCAGTGCATTACAAAAAGTCTATTCGTGTCTTGACTCATAGTGGTTTAAGTATCCAAAAAACAAAGAGTGCGATTTTTCTTCGAAACGTAGTAGGGATTGTCTGTGCCAATAGCCTTGACATATAGCTCCGTTGCACTTTGGGCGTCTCGAGTTAGAGTCCTGGCTCGCGGACCTTTCCTGATCCCATCCCGGAGCTACTTCTCTCTGTTTATGTCTATGGCGAATCACGCAGGTACTGGGCTACTCCACAGCGGTACCTACCCGAATCAGTCTAAATAGTCTGAATATAAACACTTATTATAGGTGTACCATAGTGATTCAAGAAAAGTCAAAAACACGGTTTGGAAAATGGATTCATGGTGTACTCGCTTATTATATAAATGTTGAAAATTTTGAACACAAAAAAGTTACAGACTGCAGCTTTAAATATTCATTGTCGATTTCTAGATAATTCTATTATACATAATACAATGTATTATATATATATATATATACTATAAAAATAATACACACACACAAACAAACACTACCATTCAAAAGTTTGGGATCAGTGAGATGATTTTTTCATTCTTTATTTCTTTATTTTCTTTCTTTCTTTTTTTTTTTTACATTGATAATAATAATAAGTGTTCCTTGAGCACCAAATCAGTTTATTACAATGCTTTTATGATCATGTGACATTGAAGATTCAGCTTGCCATCACAGGAATAAATTACAAATTTAAAATATATTAAAATAGAAAGCAGTTATATTTACAATATTACTGTTTTTACTGTATTTTGAGTAAATAAATGCAGCTTTTGTGAGCATAAGACACTTCTTCAAAAAATATATTTAAAAAATCGTATCAACCTCAAACCTTTGAATGGTATTATTATTATTATTATTATATTCACACTGATTGAGTTCCAAAAACAGTGTCAATATGGACTGAGACCATATCACAACTTAAGTGTAATAAAAAACAGTTCTCTGAGTTCACTTTAATGTCCTGACAGTCTTTTTGTTCATTTTTTCCCTGGATATTTTAGAAGCAGCAATATGTTATTAGCATGATGTTTATCATATCATCATTCAAACTGCTTGACAAGAAAAAATGTTCTGCATGACAAAATGAACAAAAAATGGCACTTTGACCAAATTGTGCAGCTGTTATAAGCAGGAAAAAGTATGCACAGGGAATGCTGATGTGTACAGTAGCTGTTGACTAGACTCTGAGGGGCATTCCACTGGAAAGTAAAGTAAGAGGTAACCTTATGTCATTTCACAGTTCCAGGAAATGATACCTTACACATTACATTACAGGGTGTGACACATACAAACGCATATCTTCGTGCCTTGTCTTGCACCACTGCTCAGTGGGTCATATGTGTGTGTGTTCCCCGTACAAATCAGCACAGCTTTACCATGTCCAATGCTGCAGACCCCTTTATTTTCCAAATGTCTAACCCTCCACAACCCCCAAGAGGAACAGCAAAGTTTCATGTTACTGATGGGAACCCAACGGTTGCTCTGTGTATTTACTGTACACTTTTGAAATGTTAGTACAACTATTTATTGTACAACTCTTTTCCATTACTTGGAAACAATCTGAAATGATCTGAATTCAGTCTGAAGTGCAGTGAAATATGATGTGTGAATGTAAATAATCAAGAAATGCACAACATCTGTTACAGATCTGTCCTGAAAATTAAATATTTGCAAGCTAGTACAATGACTTTCCTGTGTCTAACCGCTAGACAGCTGTCCAAGCCAATACTGTACTGTGAATACGCTCCGACTTTGTTTTAGAAATTGTGTCGCCTCCCCAGGTTTGGACTACATCTTGCATAAAGGAGAGAATAATAAGTCTAGTGTACTCACTGAAAAGCTATTCATTATATTTGGCCAGTGTCCACTTTCTTGCCTCCATCTGCAAGCAAACGATGAAAAGACACAAATTCTTTATGTTAAAAGCATTCCACATCTTTTTAACTTATCTAACAGATCATACGTTTACACAGCGCTTTACACACTTTCACAGCACTGCTCACAGTGCAAATAACTTCAAACCTACAAACACAGATTACAAATACAGTTTGTATGAAGGATGTTTCGAACCTTAATGTTGAAGTTCAGGTGAAAAAAAAGGTGGTTTAAGTGTGAATGAGTTTTTAAAAAGCAGCCCGATGAGCAATTTTCATAAAGCTGAGGAAGTTTCTTTGAGCAATTGAATGTTTTTGTAGTGCAGTGGCTCCCCCTGCTGGTCAAAGTACAAACTTTACTGAATGAACTGAAGCACGTTCAACTGCAAATAAATGTAACAGCCTAATGTTGCTTTCTGAGCAAAATATTATGAGAGCATATGAAGAGTTCATTTGCAAAAACAGATAACTCTCTGTCTAATAACAATTTTCAAAAATCATGTTTTTTCATTGTGCATTCCAATTAATCTCAATCAAACTGCAGTTGGGTCATTTTGATAAGGTTAAAAAATAACTAAAAAATACAGCAAACACAATAAAACACAATAAAAACACGATAACCTAATAAAAAAACATGATTTTTCAAAATTAAAGTTATTTGATTGACAGATTAGTTATTTGTTTTTGCAAATAAACTCTATTTAAATAGAAGAAAATCAAAAAATCAAATACATAAATCGTTCTAAATTAACGATTTATGTATTTGATTTGCATATAAAATGTTTATCCATTTGGATTACACAGTTTTAACATAAACTAATTTTAACTTCATATGATGCATATTTGTCAATAGTACATCAATAAATGTTTTTTCCACTGCTAGCCATTTTAGCCATCTTCATTACCCGAAAAAAATCGGGTGAACAGTGAACAGATTTATGCTGTTTCTAAGCAATTTGAATAAATATTGAGTACAGAAATCTGACCTGTTTCTTACCTGTGTCATTTATGTATAACTAGCAAATATGCATCAGATTAAGTTTATTAATGTAGTCCAAATGGATGGATATGCAATTTAAGTATCTAAATCTTAAATATAGGCCTAAATATTTTTTGAGCTCATGATGTATATTTTAAACCAGACTGTCATTCTTTCCAGCACCTGTGGTTTGGATTACTCAATATAAATGTGCAATATCTGAGGCACACCAAGGCCCAGATATGAAACGTGACTCAGAGTCAGAAGATTCCTAATAAACGTTTTAGTGGTTACCTTTTGCCATCCAATTTTCTAGGTCTTCCATTTCCAGCTCCATCACTGATGGGATATCATCCTCAAACATGGGCCTGGGAACAAAAAAAAGGACCAACATATGCATTTCAGTTCATGTTTATTTTCACATGATTCATTCATAAAAAGCACTTTTTGAACAGATGCATTAAAAAAGAAAAAGTAAATAAGACATGCAGTTACATTAGACTGGATGTTACGAAAATAAAGAACTAAGTGCAATAATTACTGATTATGCTGTGAGTAATTATTCAAAGCACAACTGTAAGAACTGTGTTTATGTGGGCAGTTTATTATGAGGTGGAAGTTATTTTTGTCTACTGTGGCAGACTTTCCTGTTTAAAGAGGAACCAACTAACAATGAGCAGCTTTTGTGGAACATCATTTATTGCATTACCAATATATGTGAACAGTCTGAACTGCCAAAACACAACAGCCATTAAAAATATGTATTATTGCAAACATTGGGCCTCATTCGTGAAACATTCGTAAATATATGAGTAAATTTACGCCTAAAACGGACCTTCCCGAAAACTCTCCTCCGGATTCACAAATACTTCGTAAAGGTCAGATTTGATAGTTAAATGTGTGTATGTTAATGAATTCCAATCATTCGTAAATAGGGTGTGCATGCACGCTCATTCACAATTAGCATATTCCCCGCCTATGAATTACAGCTACGCAAATTACGTATCTAGGAATGGTGTGGAATCCTTTGAACTTAATTCTCAGGTTTGGCAAGTTATATTGCACAAATGCATAAGAGACTAATAGGCTATATGCCTAACAATAAATGAAAAAAATAACGTGTGTCCACCAGAGCGTTTTTAGCCAGATCAGATGACATAATGCCTGGTGCTCTTCTGAAAACGACCAGCTGGTGGTGCTTGACAGAGCTTTGGAGGCACTGCATTTTTCTGGAGTGACGCGTTGTTTGCTATGATTTGGAATATTCACGGCAGTAACATGTTACAAGTATCTTATTTTGAAGAATATTACTGAACATAAAAATGCAGTAACCAGCAATATTAACTCCTCCATTGTTGTGTTGTACAAGTATGATTGTTGAGCAATGTAGTGTTTGTCCCGCCCCTCCTCCACTGTGATTGGACGGCTGTGTAAAAAGGGACAGTGACGAGCTCTGCGTTTTACTCAAAGAGTAAAAAACGAAAAAAAAAAAGAAAGGGCAAATGAACTCGTTAAATATCATTATAATACATAGTGCATGAAAATACAGTGTCATCAGTTGGTCTAAAATAATACAGAACGTTTGAATGTTTTATGCACCATTTGCACGTGGTAGGGAGCAGGTGTAAATTTCTTTCGTACGAACTAACATTTTCAAAATACGAACATTTTCATGAATCCGAAAATTTACGTCAGAACGACTTTCCGAATGATTTACACAAAAATTCGTTCTGCTCGTGTTTCATGAATGAGGCCCATTGTGTGTTGTCTTAAATAAATAGTTCACCCAGAAATGAAAATGTACTCATCCTCAGGCCATTAAAAAGTAGAAGGGTTTGTTTATTCATCAGAATTGGAGAGATTTAACATTACATTACTTTCTCACAAATGGGTCCTCTGCAATGAATGTATGCCGTCAGAATGAGTTCAAACAGCTAATATAAGCATTACAATAATACACAGGTAATCTACACAACTCCTCGTTAAGATGTTTTTAACACCTGTCTAAAATACAAGTCCTCTATTCATGATATTGCTTTCCCCAGTGAAAAAGTTGTCTTGTCTCTCTTGAATCAAGAGAAAACTCTGCAAAGATCACCACAAACACAATTTGCAAGCCAAAACAGTCCAAACCAGTTTTAAATAATATGTATATGTAACAAATATTTTCATTGGAGTAAGTGTTATTACGGATTATGGACTGGTATGCCTTGATTGATTTGGTTCTTACAAACTCTTTTCACTTCCAAAGATGTTAATTGACTAGAATTGTGAGGATTACTTTGATGTTTTTAACAGCTGTTTGGACTCTCATTCTGACGGCACTCATTTACTGCAGAGGATCCATTGGTGAGCAAGGGTACATGCGATCTTTAAATAAATATACAAAAAATATAAAAAATCATTAAGCTGTCATTTATGTGTATTCATAAAGTCAAAAGGCAATCTAATAATGTGGTCTAAGTTTAAATGTTAAAAAAAGAAATACATTTTAAGACATCTTGCCATACCAAAAGTGGACGTTTCTGTAGAATGACCCATGTACAGTAATGCAACATTTTTCCAAATTATTTCTAATGAAGAAACAAACTCATCTACATCTTGGATGGCCTGAGTAAATGGATGTGGTGAGTACATTTCCAGCAAGTTTTGTTTTCGGTGAACTATTAATTTATTGCAGTACAAGGCTTGTGGATGTTGAAACATTCACTGCATTTTTTTTTTTTAAATAAATAAATTACTAATAAAAATGCAAATGGAAATATGACTGGAAAGCACAACTTAAAATTATTATTGGAATTGATCAAAATTTAATTGCTAAATTTTTGAAAATAAAAAATGAGGATGTGGTCTTAAATTAATTAACATCCAAAAACTAGTATTGCAATCATGTAATGCTTAAACATATATGGCCTATATATATATATGTTTTTACAATACGTTTTTCTGGTTGCATGTTGCAAGGTCTGAAAACATCCATTGCAGGTTGAATCCACATGTGATACACACGCAAGCATTTTGCACATCCGGGTTAGCCACATGATCGCTTAAAGGAACTAAGCAACATTTAACTAAACTACTAAAATGCAGCCAGCACATGTCACTCATTATACATAATAATAGTAACACAACATGCTTTTAAAAACTTGTACCTACATTGGCACCTTTTCATGGTCTTCATGATCCAGATAAGGATCTTCTTTTGTGTCTTCTGGAAAAAAAAAGTGAGAAAACATGTTAAACATTTCTCATTGCACAGTGTTTTTCTTCATTTATAAGATTTCAGTTTGAGGTGTCTTCTAAGGAACTAACTGTAAACTGTAAACAATGTAAGGAGAAAGGGAAGAAACTCTTTTTTAGTCTCAGAGTGATGGATGACAAAAACTAAAATGGTCATTTTTTAAGTGTTCGCCTTTTTATTTGTGATTTACAAATGCTGCCCAGTAGGTTTCTACTTTGCATCTACTCAGAATTGTTCCTAACATACCCTTCAGGTTTTATTTATGTCTGGATAGTTCCCAGGAAGTGTAAATATTTTTGTCTTTAGATAAATGTGTAAACTGATGTATTGGCTGGTTATTTTGAGTCTGTAAACTCTATTAGTTTGAATGCAACATACCAGCAACTTTTATTCTCCACCTGCGGTAGATCATGGCTACACACACGATCACAGCGATGAAGACCAGTGTGAGAACTAGAGGTATGATGATCATGACTGGGTTGAGATCCTCTGTGTCTGCATCTGTATTTGCCTCAGTAGTCGGCTTTGTTTCCTCATTTTTAACTGTTTGGTCAGTGTTTGACTCACTGTTTGGTTGGGAGTCTAAATCTGCAATTGCACAAGATTTAAGTAAACAATGCATTTCCTGAACTAGAAATCACAGTAAAAGTTTATCAGATAAAGTTTAAAATGCTTATTTCAGATTGATGTCAAACATCTGAAAAGGGCCATACATACCCTGACTCCTCCCGTCTCCAGAGCCTGCACCATCCCCCTGATTCTCTTTAAAGCAATAAATAAATGAATAAATAAAATGTAAATAAGCATTTATAATTAAAACATTGTATACATTTTTATGACTGTAAATGAGTTTTTTTATGTTCTTTTTTATATACAGATTTTAGGGTTAATAAAGTTAAAGTTTTAACCTCACTTAAAATTTAATACATACTGCTGTAGAACAATATGTGAAAAGATCATTACAAATAAATCTAAACTGCAACTGTTTCTTTTATATTTAACAGTACTTTAATAGGGGGTAGAAAAAAATAATTTGCTTAGTAGATAGTGTAATAAAACGTTTAGTAGAGAATAGAAAGACTAATATAATATTTAATATTACTGTCTCGGTTATATTAACCACTCGCGATCCAGAAAAAGCATTAGAAAATAACTTTTATAATCCAGGAGAATATAACAGAAGTCAATACAAATCCACATGAAAGTAAAGTGTCATTAAACGAACGCTCTTATGCTCACTAAGGATGCATTTATTTGATCAGTAAAAACAGTAATATTGTTAAGTATTATTACAATAATGTAACTTTTTTCTACTTTAATACATTTAGAAATGAAATGTATTCTTGTGATGGCAAAGCTGAATTTTCAGCATCATTGCTCCAGTCTTCAGTGTCGCATGATCCTTCAGAAATCATTCTAATATGCTGATTTGATGCTCAAGAAATATTTCTTATTATTTTCAGTGTTGGGCTGCTGATACATTTATTTCAGATTTTTTATTTTTTTATCTTTGATTACCTTTCAAAAGGACAGCATTTATGTTAAATAAATAATAATAATAAAAAAACTTTTGTAACATTATAAATGTATTTACTGTCACTTTTGATCAGTTTAATGCATTCTTGATGAATAAAATGATTAATTTATTTTTAAAAAACTGACTCCAAAGTTTTGAATAGTGTATACATTAAAAATCGATTTTAGTACAAGACAATTATAATATATCTAGCGCTAGGCGATATACCTAAAATTAGATCTCTCGATATCTTTTCAAATTTTGATGATAGTTGATATATATGTTGACATATTTCCATTTGCTTTAGAATAATTTAAACAGGTGGTTATCTTTTGCCCCAATTAAAAAAAAAAAAAAATAATAATAATAATTGATTTTTTTTAATTCTAAGCACATTCAAAATGTTTTGTGCAAAAACACCTAAAAATGTAGACCTAGTGACCATTTACTTCTTATTATTAAAGTAACACTCATGTAAATGAAAAAAAGAGTGCAAAATAGGTATAAAAAGTGCATTCTAACAACTTCTTCAGAGCAATGTAATTCACAAATTAAAAGACTGTAAAAATGCTACAGTAAAAACCTGTTAAATGGTTAACGGTAAATTCCCCTACTATATACGGTGAAAAACTGTATTGGACATTACATGTATTGGACATTAATTTTACGATAGTATACCGTTTTTGGAAGTGAAAAAGACTGTATAATCTACAGTGAATAACCGTAAATTGACATTCCCAGAATTCCCTGAATTGCATTTCAAATTTGATGTTTTTTTGTTGAAATAACCATGTTTCTTCTTAGTTTTTTCTTATCAGTTTTGTACATTAGGGTTGTATGTTACACATAATGTTGTTAAATTAATGTTTATTGCATTATTTCAGTTTCACGTGTGTTACCATGATGGTGTTTAGTGTTTGTGTGAATGACACTGTGCACCTTCTATATATGTTATTATTTAAAAGCTGCTTGTGATGGGCTTTGGTTCATCATGTGACTTTCTCATCACCACCTGCACTTGGTGGTTATCAGTGTATTACAAAGGTACAAAACAGATTTCAGTACTTCAATAGGTTGGTATATTAACATTATATCAGTTAATGAAAATACGGTATTTAACTGTAAATTTAAGTTAAAACCGTAAAACCTAAAACTGATTTTTTGTACAGTGTATGTTTTACACCGTTTGGTAAATTATGCAAGCGTTTTACAAGTTTCTAGCTAAAAAGTCTTACAACAGTTTCTGGTTTAGGAGATGCTCTGTGGCATGACGTTTCTACTCGCACTAAAAACTCTTTCAGATGGGGTACTAGTTGCTTAGTACTAGTTGTACTAGAACACATATGCACTTCTTGGCTAGTTTTGCAGTGAAATTGCATATATATTAAACTTAATTTTCAACAATATTCTGTATTTTATATTGATTATTGTTATCACGATAATATCGCTAATATTCAATTTATTGCCCAGCATCTACTAATTTTTAACCACCAATTCTTACCTGAGTTTTCTTCTTCACCCACTGCTTCGTCAGTTAATAATACTGTTAAATGTATAAACAGATCAGATTAATGAGTGGAAGTGCGTGCACATATGCTGTTTCTTTAAATCAACAAAAACTGTGGCAGACATAATGTACAAAATATTGCTTCAAACTTAAATTACATTTTAGTTCCATGGCAGAGACCACAAGAAAGACGATTACAGAAGTCAGTGCTTGGAACATGAGTCATTCAGGACTAAAGCCACTGTCTGATGTCTACATCACATCAAATAAAAATTAGGTGTGCTAAAGCAGATACTCACGGGAGTCTTTAAGGGCAATCTCCTGCTCCGTTTCTTCGTTGTCTTCACATTGAACTGTAATGACATGCAACTAAATTACTTCACACATTTAAGAAGTGACTTTAAAAAAGAACCTTCATCTAGATTTTTATACTGAGGTTTAGTTGAGGCCTGTTTCAGTTCAGAAGAAAGATGTACCAAATGTACCAAAGAGAGATTAGACTCTCAATTTAACATTTCTCAAATTAATCTCAAATTAAACATTACTTGTCCTCTTTTTATAATACAGAATAATACTTTCACACGGTTTATTAATATAGGTTTGTTTAATGTTTAATGAATGTTTATTGAACAGTTTAAATTAATGATTCATTTCATATTTATACTGTTAATTATGCATATACATATATAGTATACCACCTTGTTAATTGTTCATTACACGTTATTTAATGTTAATGCTGATTTGTTTAAAATATGTTATGTATATGTAGAAATTAACATTAACCAAGATTAGTAAATGCTGTAAAAGTGTTGTTTATTTCATGTTAGCTATTGAATTAACTAATGTTAATACATAGAACCTCACTGTGGAATGCTACCAAAATCATCTTACTGTAATTTATAAGTATACTATTAATTCTATATATTTAAATTGACTGTAAGTCTCTGTAAAGTGTTACTCAACATCTTAAAACATAATTTTCATAACATAATAATGAATATCAAAATTCATATTCAGCTGTAAGAGGTAAAAAGGAGGAAACTAATAATCACTTACGAGGAAATTATTGGCGCAAACCAAGAGAAAGAAACTTTCGTCCTCCCGAGTCAACATTATCTTTGTTCGTCAACAAAGACAAGCTGTTTTGTGTTTTGCATAAAACCAAAAGCAACAAAATGAGTCAAAGAACTAGTTATAATGTAATGTGACCATCCTGTCTTCAACTTTCATCATTGTCCATTGTGGTCAAAAGATATGACTGGTCATTTGAATGTGTTCTAAAAGCACACATCAATTCCAAATGACTCCGCAACTGTTGTGTTGCCTAGGGGTCAATTACAGTGTAAAATGATTTCAAAGAACCATGAAGAAGAGAGCAGACAGGACAGAAGAGAGTTTCTTTAGATGAATGGGGAAAACGGGAAAGAGAGAGATAGGATCCTACATAGAGAAAAAAATGATCTACTACCGTGAGCACCTACCAAGTCCAGTCCAGCTTGCTGTCAATGCCAAAAGCAGGAATAGTATAAGAATCATTTCCCAGATTCCTCGGTGGAAGCGATGGCCCACTCTTTGGGTAGACAGAGACACAGACTCATTGCATAGTGACTGGTGGCTAACACGCCTTCATGACATCCTGCTTCCTCTTTCAGACCTGATTCACCTCTCCTTCTCTCCCTCGGATGTGATGCAATCAAGCAGTGAGCTTGTTACCACAAGACAAGCTGTTCCTCAGTTAGCTGTGAAAACACATTCCTGCATATATGGTATGTGACCTAACCAAAAACCAGAGGAAAAAAAGAGAAGTGCAAAAAGAGCTGAGTAAACAGAGGCAGCTTTAAACTCAAAGAATTTAAACAGGCTGAAGTAGGAAGAGAATGTACGTAAAGTGTTTGAGTGTATACTGCTACAGCTGTCACAGTCAAAACAGTTGTGTACTTTCACAGCACTTAAAAATGTTGATACAAAAATAACTTTGTCACTATATGTTTAAGTGGAGTATGAATATAGATTTTTGCATTAAGAAGCTGATGCTGATGGCACAAATATCTGATCATTATTATGAGACAAAATTAAAAAATAATTTATCTACCTTTCACAAGGGGAGTATAAATATAATATAGAAGATAAATATTAGATATGTTTGATCAAGTATTATCTAACATAAAAATGTGTCTGATGTGTCTAAATGTGTCTAAAATATTTATTTAAAGTTTACTGCAAGAAAATAACAGAACCAAAAAAACAAAACAAAAAATCACAGCATTAAATTATATTTATATTCAAAAATGGTCTAGGGTTTTGGTAACAGTATTGAAAATATTGCAAAAATTGATTAAATAACCCCATATGCAAATGTAATGTTTGTAGGCCTATATTACATTTCCATATATGAAATATTTTGTCATATGAGGTAAAAAAAACTATTAGAAACTGGACCAAAATATGTATGTTTATGTATGTGTAATACATTTTTGGTTATATACAGTATGTCATGCATATCATCCTACAACCTGACATGATGATATTACCAAAGTAAACAGACATGTATTTAAAGGGGTCATATGATGTGATTTCAATTTTTCCTTTCTCTGAAAATGTAAAAAGCATTTATAAACATACAGATTTTTTGTTTATATGTTGTTTTTGTTTCTATAAATATAATATATATTGCGTGCTTGTGTACAAATTTTACTATGGGGATTCTATATCTTCTATATATGTTATGTCTTCTTCTACTCAGAGAATGTAGCCTATATGTAAATATAATATATCGCCTTACAAGTAACATATATGGCAAAGGATTGAGTCATGAACATTCAGAAGGTTTTACCATAGTGGGATTGGTAAATATACACACATTCTGTAAAAATAACTTAATCTGTTTTGTGTTAGCCTATATCAGAGGGGGCGGTATAACATCAGCATCTACAACCTCCTCTAAAAACGTGCAAACGTAGAGGAGCTAATTCTTTAAATACTTTGGGGGGATTTCTATTTGTTCCACTTTTACTACTCTTACTGGTAGACCTTCATTCTCTTAAGTCTTAAAATCCTATGTTGTTTTTGCATGGCAACGCAGTCATTAAATGAAGACCATATAATGTAGCTACACTAAATGCTAATACATTTATAAAAAACTAAATAATGAATATTTTCAGTACTACGCCAAACTAAAGTATAATTGAATATTTTCAGTACTACGCCAAACTAAAGTATAATTTTTGCGAATCTACCACGTCCTAAGATCAGAGAAGAAATGAAGTGCCGCGCATGCGCTCAGGCGCCACGCATGCGCAGTGACATTTCCTCCTCCGCATCTCGCGCCAAACTCAAACATGGTGAGAACATGATTTCTGTATTTAATAATTCTGTTACTTCTATTACCGTTTTTAGAGAATGTCGCTTGTATAAAATAACCACACTAAGGTTGGCAGAAATTTGTTAAACAGGTTGAATAATTCTAGATTGTGCTGAGATCTATAACACTCTGCTCTAAACAAATTTGTCAAAAATATTTTTATTATGTTAACGGAGCTGTGGAGAAAAGTTTACAACATTATTAAATGAAAAGAATCAATTAGTTCAAAAGACACTGTTGCAAATAAGATGATGACTGAGCATTCAGATCACTGGAATGTTCTTAACACAAACAATTTAATTTTAAATTAATTTATCAACATGATGACAGTACATGATGCCACTCATTACATCTATAAACCTCTGTCCTCAGACTATAATTCAATACTTCATATAGAATAAAATATATAATCAACTTTAAATCTATTTTTTTAAATAAACATTACTTTCTGTGTTCTGACAACAGCATGAGGTAAAAAAAAAAAAAAATGTGTTTGCAACTTTTGCAACCTTTTATTACACTCTCGTGTTTATGACAGGCAATAAAATCAGATAATATTAAAGTCAGTCACCCTGAAAGTCCTCTTAAAATAATAGAATTTTGGTATGAAGCAGTCTAATTATCATACAAGAGACAGAAATGTAAAAATAAATAATATAATAAACAAAAGTTGACATAAATAAATGTGGCAATATTTAAATGTGAGAATAAATACATGTGGAAATAAAAATAAACAAATGTCTAAATAAGTAAATATAAATTAAAAAAAGAAAATGAAATGAAAGAATAAAAATAAAGAAAATAATAAAAGGTGAAACAGTAATACAAAAATAAATTCAGGACTAAATTTGATTAAAAATGAATTGCATTTGTTTTACCAAATCATTTTTTTTCTATTTATTTATATTCCTATTACATTCATTAATTAATTAATTACATTTTGGCGGTTCAGTCCTCCATAGATTTGAGCTAAATAATTTTTTGAATCAGTCCATTGAAACAAACAGTCTGAAAGAATATAGTCGAGAATTTTTTGCCACTAGTTCCAAATTTTTTTTCTGAAAAACCCTACTGAAGGGATAATAAAATATAAAAACGCCACGCCTATTTAATAATGACAGCTGAATTAGTTTTATGTTATTTATTTAATACAGAAAAATGCAGAACTGTATTCATCTTATTAATACAAAGGGTTTATCTTTTTTACTCCACAGTCTAAAAAGAAAGGACTTAGCTTGGAAGAGAAAAGAAGTCGTATGATGGAAATATGTTTTGAAACTGTAAGTATGCATGTTTTCAGATTCTTATTCTTATCCATTTAGCTTATGTGCGATTGTGTCCATGTCAGACACAGTAGTCTCTAGTAGTTTGATATTATCTCAAACTTTGGGACATAAGATTAATTAAGATTATTTTTCCCCTTCCAGAAAGATGTGTGTCAGCTGAAAGACAGAAAAAATTGCCCCCAAATCCAAAGGAATCAGTAAGTTTTATCAACCTGTAGTGATTTTTAGTTTATGCTCCTGACACAGATAAGCCAATGTCACAGATAGAGGGAGCTCTAAGTGACCCTGCACATTTTTTATAGAATGTATGTAATGGTAATCATCAGAAAACTGAACCTTGCCTGTTTGATTTGGATTGAAAGTAGAGGTTTTCCAGACGAGGTGCCAATATGACTAACCTAGTTGTATAAATAGCCAGGAAAACAGGCCTGTTGACCTGAAATTCAGAAAAGTTCTGCCCTAGAGCTTTATAAGTATCTAATAATGATGCTGAAATGTTTGTCTTGTTGGATGAAATAATAATAATAAATAAATAAACTGGCATAACCTTTTTGAAAAAAACATAAATGGCTGTGTGTATCGGCACATACATCTCAGAGCCCTTTAAGACAAGCATCCAGGGTTAAGAAAAAGCGTACAAACAGTAGGGCATTGGCTAGGAGACAAGAAACAGTTTTTAAATTTGATTTCAATGGAGGAGAGACTTCTGTGTGCTGCATAAGCTACTTTTTAAGTAAATGGCTTATTTGCAACAACCTGTCCACTATAAACTCCAGTGTATTTGCCATTTAATAGCTATTTAGGAGGTAAACTATGTTTGGAGTAAACAAAAAATAATAATATTGCGATGGATAATATTCCTTTTATGACTTATTCATTTCTGTTGTACTTATTCATTTCTATGGTATCCACAAACAGCAGTTGTCAGTATTAAAACCTCTTTTTTCCATTACAATAAAGAACAGCGAGAAGTGAGAAATCATACAGCCATATTTTATTTTTATACACTCATGTGATGCAAAACCGATTTCGACAAAGCATCATCTATTTTATACAATATTTTGCAATATCAAAACACCACAGACAACCAAATGCTTATTTTTTGCAAGGCGTAAAAATGCACGTACAAGTACATCAGTGAATCTCACATTTTAAGTTGCACTGCAACACTGGCCTGAAAGTGCATGTGACAGTTTTCTCGCACATTGAGTTTTGAAGATATGTTCACTGACATAATGCTTACTAGAGAATTTGTTTAATCTTTTTTTTCAGCTCCCATGTCAGTGAAAGAGGTGTTGCAGAGTCTGGTGGATGATAACATGGTGGACACTGAGAGGGTGGGCACCTCTAACTATTACTGGGCGTTTCCCAGTAAAGCCCTGCACGCCCGTAAATGCAGATTAGAGGAACTGGAGAGACAAGTGAGGGCATCTCTATTTGGTGTCTGACACTGCATTTCTGATAGTTGACTTGTAAAATAAAACTGTTAGATTTATGGTCAAAAAAGGCAGCTTTGGTTGCCAGAGATTAACCTTAAAAAATACGGTGACAGTGTTTCAGGTTTTATTGGATGGCATATTGATGTCTACATATGCTACAATGTATTTAACTGTATTTCTTTTAAAGGAATAGTTCATTCAAAAATAAACATTATCTGAAAATGTACTCACCCTCAGGCCATCCAACATGTAGATATGTTTGTTTTTCATCGGAACAGATTTAGAAAAACTTACATCACTTGCTTACCAATGGATCCTCTGCAGTGAACGGGTGCCGTCAGAATGAGTCCAAACAGCTGATAAAAACATCACAATAAATCAACAAGTAATTGGCATGACTCCAGTGCAAAAAGTAACGTCTTGTGAAGTAAAAAGATGCATGTTTGTATTAAACATCATTAAGGTTTTTTTTTTTTTTTTGCTTAAAATCGTTGCTTCCGGCTGAGTTACAAGTCCTCTTTCCATAATGTTGCTTTTTCCTTTGGCACCCATGATAAAGAAACAAATTCATCTACATCTTCTTTGGCCTGAGGGTGAGTAAATTTTCATCAATTTTTTTTTTAGGTGAAGTATTCTTTTTAATATACCCATTTACTTGAACTAACAAAATCTGCTTACCTTTAAATGTATTGATATAATATAACTATAATAATAGAAGATAATAATACAAGAGTTATAATAATGCAAGAGTTGAACAGAACAGATATGCAACACATAACACCCTATTGTACATTACTGATAATGAAAACAAGAAGATAAAAAAGAAAAAATATAATCATATGTAATGTGTCAAGCAGGGAAATCTAGGAATGTCTTATTACTGTTTTTAACCATAAATTATATTGAAATTCTATTGAATAATGAAAATAATTCAATATTATGCCATATGTATTTTATGATAAATTACAAATAATGTGATGTTGAACCATTTACAGTTTTTCGCCATATTAAGGTAACTTTCAGTTAACCAATAAATGGGTTTTTACCATTTTTTTTTATAGTGAATGCTTTAATATCATTCCATTGATGGTTGAATCTTTCTGTTCTGAGGACGAGACCAGAGACTTTGCATAAATGTATTGATTTCTTTTTTTTTTCTGTGTAGCATGAGGATGGGAATCAGCGCAAAAAAGCCCTTCAGCGAGCAGTTGATAAAGCCAAAGTGGGACGTGAAGTTAATGTGTGTGTTCACTTCTCTCTGAACTACATTACTGTACAGCTCTAATGTCTGTGGGCTCTGTCTGACCATTGCTTTTGTGTGCATTTAGGAGAAGAGAGAGAATCTCCTGAAGGAGCTCACAGCATTGAAACATCAGAGAGATCAGCTAAAGGCCGAACTGGAGAAGTACAAAGAATGTGATCCAGAGGTGGTGGAAGAGATACATGAGTAAACCACACAGATTTGTGTGCATAATTCTACTAATTGAAATTAAACTAAAATAAAAATAAATTAAATGATTAAAATAAAAAAACTAATAAAAAGCACAAAAAAATTACTACAAATTAAACTGAAATGAAAATATAAAAATATGAGCAAAACTGTAATTTTATATAAATAATGCTAACATACATAACACTGAAAATCAGCATAGAGGAACTAAGTAGTTCACATTTTACCCTCCAGATGGAGTTTGCACAAAAATATTGACTCTCAGTACTGCATACTTACATGCAGTTTAAAATAGCTGGTTTGCTTTAGAGTGGTTTGCTTTAAGCTGTATGCTGAGCCCAGAGATGCTAAAACCAACATCATAGGTCCCCCCCCCCAAGATTACATATAGAGTTGGATGAGGATGGTTGAGTTTTTTCATAATTTTTCATCAATCTAACCGATTGATAAGGTTGGCTAGTGTTTTAAGCGCATATGCGCAGATGGACACAAACTCTTCATGAGTTTACTGTCTGGTTAACAGTTCTGGCTAATAAATTATTAGAAACAGCAGTAAAACACATTAAGTCTCCTAGCAGTAAAATAAACAGTAAATTAAAAAGTATAGCATTTCCCTTTCTGTAATTAGTATTTTTCATATACCACTGGCATTCAGTATATACACTTTTATATAATTTCAAAAAGTCTTGAATATTTCATATATATTTAATTCCATGAACTTTGCAACACGTTAGTGAATTAAGCGGTTAGATCATCTGAAGTGTGTACTGTATGTAAAATTAGTTTCAGCTGGTCAAAAGGGCTTGATTTTGATGATTACCGAGTACATTGTTGGTTACTGTGTACTTCCTTTTTTATTCATGTTTTTATCAAATTCTTCGTGCTTGCTCTGCCTTGTCTTAAAAGAGGAAATTCTGATGTTTCTTAATGTTATCAATCTTAAATTGATTTCACAATTGCATACCTGTGACACTCATAATGTCTAAAAAACATCAGCCCGGGTCTGGTTAGTTCTCCTAAAAGCATGATCTGTGCTTGTCTACCTTCTATCACGGAGTTGTCTATACTGCACAAATTAATAATAAGAACCCAGTAAGATGTCATTGGTGCATTTAGTTTGTTTTCCATTGCAAAGATCCTCTGTTTGCATTTTTTCTGCTGTGAATTTTTGTAAAGCAGTCATCTGCATTATTCTGACAAGGCACCTGGGAGCGAGTAGCACACAATAAAGAATCAGCAACTCTGTTCACATAATTCTGCATAATAAGGGAAACATTGCTTACAGCAAGTCTGAAGCCTTACAGTGATTGATTTGAAATTCACTGTTGAAGGCAGTAAATTTGCACAGAAGTGGTGTTTTGATGACTGTAGTGACAGTGCTTTAGTGTATCAAAAAAATCTTTTGAAAGTCAATGACTAATTTGCATGCATTTAGGTATTAGAACATAAACCAATTTCAGTACACAGGTATATACTGAAGTATTTGTCTTGAGTATTTGAAAGTGAAAGTGAAAGTGACGTGACGTGGCCAAGTATGGTGACCCATACTCTGAATTAGTGCTCTGCATTTATCCCATCCAAAGTGCACACACACACAGCAGTGAACACACACACACCGTGAACACACCCCCGGGGAGCAGTTGGGGGTTCGGTG